TTTTTTTGTGAAAATACTGTACAGAGAGGTTACAATTACATGGGCAAGATAATGAGTACATTTCTTATCAAGCATTGTAGCCTCCTCCTTTGTTTCCCCTAGCATCACTTCTTATAGTGTGTTTTTTTGTGGTTGTTTTGCAGGTCCTGGAGCTTGAACTCAGGGCCTGGGCACTGTACTTGAGCCTCTGTGCTCAAGGCTAGCATTCTACCACTTGAACCACAGCATCACTTCTGGCCTTTTTTGTTTATGTACTGAGGAATAGAGGGCTTCATGCATGCTAGGCAAGCACTCTACCACGAAGCCACATTCCCAGTCCTATTTTTTTTTTTTTTTTAAATTCGGTCTTGGGGCTTGAACTCTGGGCCTGGGCACTGTTCAGCGCCTAGTGCTCTACCACTTTGAGCCACAGCACCACTTCCAGTGTTAAGAGTTTCACGGACTTTTCCTGCCTAGGCCGGCTTTGAACTGTTCCCTCAGATCTCAGCCTCTTGAGTAGCTAGGATTATAGGTGTGAGCTAGCCACCAGCGCCTGGCCTATAGTGTGTTTTGTATGCTTTAGTTTATTCAGTGTTCATTGAAAGTGGATCCGTTTGCTCTGTAAGTTTTGGAGATTTCATGGATAAAAAATTTTTCAGATACTTTGGTCTACTATTTCCTTTGCTAGATGTATTTTCTAATAAATATTTAGCATACTAATATTTTATCTTTACAGGAGTCAATGATATTTTATCTGCTTATATGTAATTAACCACAATGGGGAAAGGATGAAGGAACATAGATGTACCAAAGGAGTTCTGAAATTATTAAGTGAAAGTCTTATCAATCAAAAGTTTTAATCTGTTCTAAGGACTCTTTTATTTTGCTTCATTTCCCTATTCATTAGTATATCGAGTATGGACAACAATCTAGAGATCCACCTGTGAAAATGCAGGGCTCTATCACAACCCCTGGAAGTATTGCACTGGCTCAGGCCCAGGCTCAAGCCCAGGTTCCAGCCAAAGCTCCTCTTGCTGGTCAGGTTAACACTATGGTAACCACCTCAACCACCACCACTGTTGCTAAAACGGTTACAGTCACCAGGCCAACTGGAGTCAGCTTTAAGAAAGACGTGCCAGTAAGTAGGTCTCTTCTCTCTCCCAAGATTTAGTGTAATATATCTAGTAGCAAGCATATATTTTAATTTTATTTTAACCACAAAGACCAGCATTCCTCCTTGTCTGTATCTCCTCCCTCTCATTTCCCAGAGGCAGCCACTATTAACAGTTAGATATAATCCTATTCTTCTGCTACTGCACAGTCATGTCATGTATATCATTTTATTTTGCTTTTTATCATCCTGGGGCTTGAACTCAGGGCCTGGGTGCTATCCCTGAACTTCCTTGTGCTCAAAGCTAGTTCTCTATCACTTGAGCACCACTCCACTTCTGGCATTTTCTGAGTAGTTTATTGGAGATAAGAGTCTCATGGACTTTCTTGCCCCTGCTGGCTTCTACCTCCAATCCCTAGAGCTCAGCCTCAGTAGCTAGGATTACAGGTGTGAACCACCAGCACCCATTTTATACTAACTGATTTTATACAGTCTTCAGGTATTTCCAAGGAAGCATTTCAAGTTACCTCATGTCTTTTATTATTATTACTATTATTTTTTTTAGCCTTCCATCAATACTACAAATATAGATACATTGCTTGTGGCCACAGATCAAACTGAGAGAATTGTGGAGCCCCCAGAAAATATTCAGGAGAAAATTGCTTTTATCTTCAATAATCTCTCACAGTCAAATATGACACAGAAGGTGAGCATGGTAGTATACTTGATAAATGCCTTTTTTCTTTTCTTTATGGTCTGAGACATTTATTTTGTCTGTTTTTTAAAATACTGTACAATTGGTGTTGTAATGCATACTTGTAGTGCCAGCTATTAGAAGACTGAAGTGTGAGATTCCCTGATTCCCTTGAGCACCGGAGTTTGAGACCAACCTGGGAAAACAAAATGAGACTTCATCTCAAAATAAAAAACTGACTTTTGAAGGTAGAGGTAGAAGAAAGCAAAGGAACTGTGAATCTACAACTAGTGGTTTTATTGACACACATAAACTATGATTTATATTGTTATGTAGTGAGGTACAGGCTTTTTGAGGAAGGAAACAAAGCTTGATATTATTGTGGAAATAGAAGAACTCATTTGTTCACTTATCTATAAGTCAATTTCTCTCAGCAAGTACTCAGGGAGTATTAGGTGGCTAACTGAAGTGAATTTTGTGAAAAGCATGAAGAATAATAGCTGAGAGTATATGCTACTTTGAAATGACAGTGTTCAACATTAAGCGTAAAGAAATGAGTTTAAGGAAGTGGAGCTGTGGCTCAAGTTGTAGAACACTAGCCTTGAGTACAAAAGCTCAGGGGCAGTGCCCAGGCCCTTAGTTAAAGCTCTAGGACTAGCATCAATTGTCATTGGAAAAACAAAGCTTGGTGCTTAGTCTTGTGTTATAAAATGATTTATAGAATCCAAACCTTATGCAATGTTAGTATAATTCTATGCTGTATATGTCTTGTTAATTGGCTAGGTTGAAGAACTTAAAGAAACTGTGAAGGAAGAATTTATGCCTTGGGTTTCACAGTATCTGGTTATGAAGAGAGTCAGTATTGAGCCAAACTTTCACAGCCTGTATTCAAACTTCCTTGATACACTGAAGAATCCTGAATTTAATAAGATGGTTCTGAATGAAACCTACAGAAATATCAAAGTAAGAGTTATTTCTTGTATTTCCTTTAATTATTGGTTTAAACTGGAAAATACTTAACATTTAGCTATTCCTATATTGTCTATAGTAAAGATCTATGGAAATTGCTCTAGGTTTTGCTTCAAATGTAGACCTAAATTTCAAAAAGATTAATCTTATAGGCATTTGTGTTTTTTATATTGAATGTAATTATTCTAAACTTTTCATTTTCCCTTGATTTTAGAATTTCATTATCTGTTACACATAACAATAGCATATTACTTTACATATTCTATGTGGCATCACTGTTTCTGTTTCCCCATTCTGGAATTTATTTGCAGTATGATCTTAGTTCTCCACTTTTTTTGGTGCTGTTCTTGGGGCTCAAACTCAGGGTCTGGGCACTAATGCTGAACTATTTTGCTGAAGGCTCTAGCACTCTACAACTTGAACCACAGCTCCACTTTTGGCTTTTTAGTTGTTAAGAGGAGATTGGAGTTTCATGGACTTTACTGCCCAGGCTGGTTTCAAACCTCGATCCTCAAATCTCAGACTCTGGAGTAGCTAGGATTAATTAGGCATCAGCCACTGGCACCTAGCTAAGGGTTTTTAATTTCTAAGTCACTTTTTAGAAGGAAAAAAAATTTTTTTTAAGTACAAACTAGTATGCAATTGTCAATCACTGGGCTGGGAAGGTGACTCAGTGGTAGAGTGCTTGCCTTGCATGCATGAGGCCCTGGGTTCTATTCCTCAGCACCACATAAGCACAAAGAAAAAAGCCGGAAGTGGCGCTGTGGCTCAAGTGGTAGAGCGCCAGCCTTGAGCTGAAGAGCTGAGGGATAGGCCCCACGACCGGACTCCAAAAAAAAAAAAAACAATTGTCAATCACTATTTGTTGAGCGACTTGGGATTGTATTAGAAACCAGCACTATATTTAAACCTATGATGAGATTTTCCTCATTCTTGGTTACGCTGTAGTGCAAAAGAATTCCTGGCTCTTTCTGTTGCACAGCTGATATGTGACATTCAGTTGTTGCATTGTGGAGTTAAGGGACATGAAATCTTTAGCTTTTATTATCTGGTAGAAAGGATAGTCTTATATCAGAAAGTTCCTACCTGGGCTGAGGTAAAATTTAAGATCTTGGTTGTTTGCTCATTCATTCATTCATTCACTCATTTGTATTAGAGATCATACTCGGCGCCCTCACATTTTAAGCACACACTCAACCACTGTAGCTATATCTCCAGCCCCTTAAAAGACTTACTATTAAAAATGCCACTGTTGGGCCGGGAAGATGGCTTGGTGGTAGAGTGCTTGCTTTAAATGCATGGGGCTCTGGGTTCAATTCCTCAGCACCAAATAAGCAAAAAAGGCCAGAAGTGGCACTGTGGCTCAAGTGGTAGAGCACTAGACTTGAGCTGAAGAGTGGAGGGACAGCGCCCAGGTCCAAGAATTGAGGCCCCACAGTGGACCCCCCACTGTCCTCCAAAAAGCCACTGTTTTCTGTTGAACAAAGCAAAATAATAGGTCATATGTAACAATTACTTTGGGCATGTTGTTGGAAATAATGGCTAAAAAAAAACAACAAATAATAAAATTCTCAAACATTGAATCGAGAATTTTCTTAAATTTATTGTCATTTCTTTCTTGATCTTACACTATTTTAGGTGCTCCTAACCTCTGATAAAGCTGCAGCCAATTTTTCAGATCGTTCTTTGCTGAAGAATTTGGGACATTGGCTGGGAATGATCACATTAGCTAAAAATAAGCCCATCTTACATACTGTGAGTTTCAGCTGAAGATTTATGTACAGTTTGAAAATATTCATACAGTATATTATATCTAAATATCTCGACTTTGTGGGGTTATTTTAATGATTACTTTGGGTTTTTTTTGTAAGATTTTGGCCTATTTTGAATTCCTGTTTTTCTACCTATGATCTAACAGTATGCTGCTGGCTATAGGAAAGCCAATAAGTTGTGATATTATTTACTGCTTCCTTTTTCTAATGCAAGATTCTGATACTATATTGATTCGTATTTGGGAGAAGAAGCTCTGTGAGATGCCTTTCCTTGTATAATTTTTGAATGCTTTATCTTGAACTTTATTTTTGGGTAGTAGATACCACCAAGTCTTGAAAATATCTTTTTTTCCTAGGATTTGGATGTGAAATCTTTGCTGCTAGAGGCTTATGTTAAAGGACAGCAAGAATTGCTATATGTAGTGCCCTTTGTTGCCAAAGTCTTAGAGTCCAGCATTCGTAGTGTGGTAAGTGGATTTTAATATTTATTGGTGACCGATTTTTGAGTTGTTCCAAGAGACTATAGCTGAAGTTGGTTATGGGGCTTGAACTCTGGGTCTGAGCGCTGTCCCTCAGCTCTTCAGCTCAAGGCTAGTGCTCTACCAGTTGAGCCACAGCACCACTTCCAGTTTTGTGAGTGGTTTATTGGAGATAAGAGTCTCATGGACTTTCCTGCTGAGCTGGCTTTGAACAGAGATCCTCAGATCTCAGCCTTCTGAGTAGCTAGGATTACAGGCATGAGACAGCAGCGCTTGGCTGCAAACATTTTTAACCTTCACAAGGCAAGTTGTCATTATCATGGTCTATAGTGTGTGTGAATTCTATGAGCTTTGACAGTACAACTGTCTCTTCCACATGGGGTAATAATGTACATTTCTTTCTGTCCCTCTTTCTGTCCCTCCCTCTCATCACTGCCATTGAGTTGCTTACTTCATTTTCATCAATGTCCATGCAGCTAATGGGCCCCTCTGTTGTATATTTTCCCATTTCTCTCTGATTCTGTGCCCTCCTAGTTTTCCTCAGGCATGCACGCGCATGCGCGTGTGCCCATACCTACACCCACACCATATATGTGGTCAAGAACATGGAATCATTTAAAAATGATACAACAAATTAAGTAGAGATCCTTTGTTTCTTGAGTCCTTGCATTTTGGTTTTAACACTCGCATATTAGGGAGACCATGTGCTGTTTGTTTCTCTGCTCTTGGCTTACTTCACTCAAAATGATTTGTTCTAGCTCCATCCATTTCCCTGAGAATGCCATTATCTGTCCTTTCTAATGGCTACATAATATTTCATTGTATATAGGTACCACAGTTTTTGGATCCATTCATCTGTAGTGGATCATCTGGGTGGTTTCCATATCCTGGCTATTGTGAACAGTGCTGCAGTGAACATGGAGGTGCATGTGTACTTGTATCCTGGTTCCTGTTGCTCAGGGTAGATGGCTAGTAGTGGTATGACTGGGTCATAGGGGAGGTCTATATTTAGCTTTCTGAGGACCCTCCAGACTGCTTTCCAAAGTGGTTGTATAAGTGTACATTCCCACTAGCAATGCAATAGGGTTCCTCTTTCTCCGCATCCTCACCAGCATTTGTCATTGGCTGAATTTAAGATGTGGGCTATTCTGACTGGGGTAAGGTAGTATCTCAGGGTTGTTTTTATTTGCATTTCCTTTACAGCCAGGGATGATGAACATTTTTCCTCATGTGTTTCTTTGCCATTTTTATCTCTTCTTCTGAGAAGTCTCTCTTTAGCTCCCTTGCTCATTTAGTGATTGCTTTGTTTTGGGATTGTTAAGGCATAATATCATGCTATCTGCAAATAGGGATAGTTTAATTTGTCTCTTCCCTGTGTGGATCGTTTTAATGTCCTTTTCTTGCCTTACTGTTTTGGCTAAGGATTCCAGAAGTATATTGAAGAGGAGTGGAGAGAGTAGGCATCCTTCCTTGTTTAGTTTTTCCCCATTTAGTATATTGGCTATTGGTCTGTCCTGTATGGCTTTAATTGTTTTAAGGAATGTTCCTTCTATTCCTATTTTCTCCAGAATTTTTAATATGAATGGATGTTGTATTTTAATCAAAGGCCTTTTCCATGTCAATGGAGTTTGTGGTTTTTGATCTTGGCTCATTTTTCCTTTTTTTTTTGGTCATGGGGCTTGAATCCTGGGCCTGGGCACTGTCCCTCAGCTCTTCAGCTCAAGGCTAGCTCTCTACCACTGGAGCCACAGCGCCACTTCTGGTTTTCTAGTGGTTTATTGGAGATGAGAGTCTCATGGACTTTCTTACTCGGGCTGGCTTTGAACCGTGATTCTCAGATCTTAGTCTCCTGAGTAGCTCAGATTACAGGAGCCACTGGCACCGGATGTTTGTTGTAATTTTTCCTGTGGCATCTCTGATCTTATTGATTTGGGTCTCCTCTCTTTTAAGTTAATTTTGCAAAAGGTCTGTTGATTTTGATTTTTTTTTCAAAAGGCCAGCTTTTTTTCTACTTATAGTTTTCTTAGTCTCTGTTTCATTTATTTCAGCTCTTATTTTGGTTATCTTGCTCCATCTAGTAACTTTGGATTCTATTTTCTTGCTTTTCTAGACATTTTAGTTGCATCATGAGATTATTGTTCTATCTCTGTTTTCTTGATGTGTGCACTGAGAGCAATGAATTTGCTTCTTTGGACTGCTTTTGCTATGTCTCAAAGGTTACTTTGTGACGTATATTCATTTTCATTGAATTGTAGGACTTGTAAATTTCTTCTGTGACCCAGGTGTTCTTTAGAAGTGTGCTGCTGTTCAATTTCCATGTATTTGAGAATTAGCTTGATTTCACTAAGATTGGATAGAATACAAGGGATTATGTTGATCCTCTTGTATTTGTTTAAATTCTTTATGAATTATGATCTGTTTTGGAGAGAGTTCCATGAGCTGCTGAGAAGAATGTATTGGGTTTGTTTTTTGGTGGAAAACTCTGTAGATGTCAATTAAGTCCATTTGAGATACGGCATCATTTAATTTGGCGGCACCTTTGCCAAACCTCTGGTTGGTACACCTGTTCTTTGGTGAGAGTGGAGTATTGAAGTCTCCTAGTATTATTGTATTTGGAGCTAGTTTTCCCTGCAAGCCTGAGAATACTTGGTTAACGTATTTGGGTGCCCCAATGTTTGGAGAGTATAAATTGATGATAGTGATAATCCTCTTCTTGGGTTGTTCCCTGTATGTATGTATGTCCTTCTTTGTCTTTTTGTATTTTAACGAAAAGTTTATTTTGTAAGATATCAGGATACCTTCTTGCTGGGACATTTGCATGGTAGATCTTCCGCCATCCTACCCTGGGAGTTTGTTTTTATCTTTGGCTATGAGATGGGTCCCTTGAAGACAGCAAATAGATGGATCTTGTTTTCTGATCCAATCTGCAGTTATTTTTCTTTTGATTGGTAAATTGAGTCTATTAATATTTATGGGGATTATAGAGAGGTTCATTGTGTTTCCTGTCGTTTTCCTGCTTTCATAAGTTTTTTTTTCTTTCCCTTCTTCCTGTGCTTACTAAGTTGGTCTTCTAGTGATAACTGTCTGATGTGGATCCCTGATCTATCTATCTATCTATCTATCTATCTATCTATCTATCTATCTATCTATCTATCTATCTATCTATCTATCTAATCTATCGTTTTCTTCAGATTGTATTCCCCCTCTTAATATTCTTTGTAGTGCAGGCTTATTTCTTAAGAAATCATTTAGGTTTTTTTTTTTTTTGGGGG